ATATATAATGTATGTATAGTTTCTGTTGTTGTTACATGCCATCTGATTGCCTGTGATTCATAGTGACCCTATGTACAACAGCTCTGAACCTTACCCTACGCTACCCTGAGCCAATCTCACTGTCTCCAACACACCTAACCTTATTACTTCAGTCACTGTATCAATCCATCTCATGCAGAGGCTTCCACTCCTGTGCTGTCCCTCTACACTTGTAAGCTGGCAACATGCCTAAAGTATGTGAGATGGAGCTTCACAATCCTTGCCTCCAAGGAGAAAATTGATTCTACTCTCTCAAGGACAAAACTATTTGTTCCCTTGGTAGCCCACTGTATGTTCAATATACTTTTCCAGCATCATAACTCAAAGGCGTTGATTCTACTTCTACCATCCTTAGTCATTGTCCAGCTGTCTGATGCATATAGCAAGTAATAGTGAAGACCAGAGCCTGGATCAGACACACCTTAATCCCCAGACTGACATTGTTGCTCTTCAGCACTCTCGAGAGGTCTGTGACAGCAGATTTTTCCCAATGCAATTCATCTTTGAATCTCCTGACTGCTGGTGCCAAGTGGGGGAGGAAGAGAGAGAGAGAGAGAGAATGTGTGTAGTTGTGTACTGTTGAGTCAGAACCAACACATAGCAGGTTTTCAGAGGCAATTAATCACAAGAGAAGAGTTTGCCCACCCTTCTCCCACAGAGCAGCTAGTGGCCTCGAACTGTGTTCCTTCAGGATTGCAACGCAACTAGGTCATCAGAGCCCACAGACCACCAGAGCTCTGTGTGTGTGTGTGTGTGGGTGTGTGTGTTTAGGCTTTTGTCTATTTTTTTAAATTAATTTTTCTGGTGGTTTCTGAAAATTGAGACACCCACCTAGGTGTACTTCTATTGAGTTGATTCCGATTCACAGTGGCCCATAGTGCAGAGTGTAACTGTCCTATGTAGTTTCCAATGAATCTTTATGGAAACAGGGTGCCTCATCTTCCTGATAGGTTAGTACTACTGCCTTTCCTTAGCAGCTGCACGCTTTAAACATAGTCCTACCAAATCCAGAGTTGCCAAGTCAGTTCTAGTGCCCCTCCATCAAAGTGTCTTTGTTGTTTCTGTGGGGATTGCCAGCTTAATGACCTGGAGAAAGCAGCACAGAGTAACCAAGAAAGATGGCTAAGGGTCTGTTCTGCCTGATTCTCTTGTGCACACCGTTCTCAACCCTGTGTCTGCCTCATAACTGGTGCCCATGAGGTGAGTCGAAGCTAGTCTTGCAGGCGGGACATGCTGCATTTCTTTTTGTTGATGTTGTTGTGTGCCATTGGAATTGGCCACCTCATAGCTGACCCTCCAGTGGGTTTCCAGAGGCACTTAATCACATGGGGGGAGATTGCCCATTCTTCTCCTACAAAATCGCTGGTGGATTCAAACCAAGTGCCTTTGGGATTGGGAAATTCTCCCCTACACCACACCTTTATGCTCCTGGGAAAGTTTCTCTCTACAGGATCATAAACAGGGCTCTTGGCTGTAAAATGGGTCACAGTGGAAGGTCCTGCATAGAAACTAAAAATTCATTGCTGTTGAGTTGGAACTGACTCATAGCTGACACTACACTGACTTTCCAAAGTGTATATCACAAGGGAGGAGACTGCCCATCTTTCTCCAGAGAAGCTGCTGGTGTATTTGAAACATGAGAAGCATGGCCTTTGAGTTAGTATTGCAGTTTCCAAAAGACTGCACAAAATGTAGAACAGAAGTATAAAAACACTTTTAAAATACTATATTTACAGTATAAAAGACTGATGGGATCCCAGAGACTATGACCATTAGTTACCCTTCAAAACTAAAGGGGAAACTGACTGCTGTAGCACAACTTTGAGTCAAGCCAACAGCCAGGCCTGTAAGGTCAACAATAACATCAGGGAGGCACTCACTCCTTAGAATAAACAAGCACTTAAGGGCAAATGAGCAAGGTTTTCCCAAAGATAAAACCCAGAAGGCAGGAAGGGATATAGGAGGACGAAGGGAAATAAGAGTTACAAGGATGTTGTTGTTATTGTTGTTAGTGCCATCCAGTCACAGGTGACTCACAGTGACCCTACGAAGAAGAATCCTCAACACTTGTGTGTCTCTCATCCTCTCTCCAGGTTCATAGGGTTTCTGGAGGCAAGCTAGTATGGAAGTGGATGCTGCTCCTGCTTCCAGGCTTGTTCTAATCGGGGAGTTTCACCCAACACTGTCCACCATGGGTAACCAACCACTAACACATTTGACACATCAGTATCACAGTGTTCAGCCTCACAGCAACCACAAGTTACCGCTGTACAGCAAGTGGACACAGCAGGGCTATACGACCTAGAGGAATGTTTGAGCAAAAACAATGAAAGACAAGGATAGACCAACAGAAGTCTTTGACTTGGGCCCCAGAGGCCCCGTTTGGGAAAGAAAGTTGAGCTGAAGCGGCTCATCCAGTGCCCCAGTCTTCCTCACCAGGGTCCATGTTCCCAGAGGAGAGGAAGGGAGAGAAGAGACCTCTCTGCCTGCTGCCTCATTCTCCAAACCAAGAGTCTGGCTTCACACAGAGCAAATCACAGCTGAGCTCAGGCTGCATGATTTTAGCCAGATAAGAAGCAAACCCAGCACCCAACCCCAAGTGGGACGAGGCACCTTGATCCCAAGCCGCTTCTTCTGAGAAGAGAACCAGGGGATGTAAGTTGAGGAGTGGTGAAGAAGTGGGTCTACAGAGATGGAAAACATTGAGTCAACTCGTCTCTCCTGGTAATCCATCCCTCGGTGTCCAAGAATCCTCAATCCCTCTCTCCTTTCTGGCATCAAAGAACCCCAGTTCTTTTGGGTCCACAGTGGGGCGCTCCAGATGTTCTTGGTCAATGTCTGTACTGACCAGTTTGCACTGTTCCTGCTAGATCCATCTCCAGACCTGGAGGCAAATGGGGACCTGCCTTTATCTCCGACCTCACATTAACCTGGAACCTCTCCAGGGGCGGGATGGCAAGTCTAATTCTCCTTAGAAACTGTGGTTGGTGGAATTTGAGATGAAAATGCATGATTCTGAGGGATGTGGATAGAGTCAGAGGATGAGATGTGTCCTGGTGATCTGACATTCTCCCTAAATCCCTGTCTCTTTGAGGCACCAGGTGTTAATGAGAATCATCCTTCATCTGAAGGCCAAAAACAGTCTGATCCCATAGTGAACTGGCTCCCCCTCCCATCTTCATGTCCTCGTGATCAAAAGACCCACAAGGGTCCATCTGCAATGTGACCTCAAGGTCTCCCATCTCTCCTTCTTAGAGCAAGGAGGCCACAAAGAGTTCCAAATGTAAAGTGTGCTGATTCTAGACCCCAGAGGACAGGATGAAGGATACAGAGAAGAACAGAGCATGGGACTGATTTCCCAACCCTTCCCAACCCAGCCCTGCTTCACACAGTCCATAACATGTTCTCCGAGAAGGGACCTGCCTCTCCTGAGGAGAAGATGGGAGCTGGGTCAAGAGTAAAGGTTTGTCTATGAATTCTGGGGAAAGGCCCATCCTGAAGGTCCGGGTCCTCTTCATCCCCAAAGGTGGATTGTGTCAGCTTCTAGGATATGGTGCTTCTTGAATCCACCTAGCAGGGTTTGCCAAATCCAGGGGTTCTGATTCCCCAGGCACAGGACCATGTGCCCCCAGAGAAGAGATTTCAAGCTGACTTTTCACTCCTAGAGCCTTACAAACTGCATATGAGTGGCAAGAGGGGGCAACTATAGGACTGGGAACTGGAAACTTCCAGAACCACGGACAGCCCATCTCACATCCCAAGGAGCAGGTGAGCTGCTTCAGAGGATGAAGAGACCCTGAGGGAGGAGATACAGTAGGTCCTTCACCAGCAGAGGGCACCAACACCAGAAAGAGATGCCACTTTCAGAAAGGGCTTCTACCTCCACATGTCTCATCTCTGGCTGCCTAGAGTCAATGAGGCACCAGGAGAATGTTCGAGGCTGTGGGAATTGAAGAAGGGGGAATAGGCTTGCCCACAGCCCCCTGCAGGTTCTAGCAAGGTCCGGAGAAGTGAGATGACAAATACCACTCCCTGCTTCCTGGAAGCAGACTATCTGCATGATCTGGTCATTAGAAGCATCACTTAAACACTCTTTGCAAGTATTGACTCAAATTTCTATCTCCCAAACATACAGCAAAGGTCATGAGAGGAAAGACTGAGCATGTTCCAGATGTGAAAAGGGGAAGAGGTAGGCAGGAAGTGCTAGGACTGACTGAACAGGCATCTCGGGTTCCAGGGTCTGATCAGGAAACTCCTCCCCCCCCCACCCCCTTCCCTCTGCCATAGAGGCAGTCATAGATATCTAATCAATCTCCTTTCCCCATTTTCCATCACTTGAGCCTTCATCACGAAGGTCCCACCCTCTAATTCCCTTAGACACTCCCACATGTAAGGACACTCAGCACAGACCTTGAACTTCATATACTTTATTGAGATACAAAATGTAGGGGGAGACTGTGCCCCAGGGATGTTTTCTCACCCCTGCCCCAACTCTGGGAAGTCATCAGAATGTGTTGGGCATGGTCATCATCCCTGCTCAATCCCTTTCAGCTGTCAAGGAAGTGACAAGAGTCTGAGGACGTGGCAGGGGTGGGAGGGTCTTAAAGCAGGGGATAGAGGAGGACATGGGTTCTTCAAAGGTCTAGGAGTGTCTTCTTGTGTCAAGAGCATCCTTGGTCCTTCCTACCTGGAACTCAAGGCAATGAAGGGACGTAATCACGGATCCATTTGTAATAGTATGTCACACTGGTATAGACTACCGAAAGTTCAGGTTTAATACAGCCTTCACCCCAACTCACCACCCCTATCTGCAGCCAGGTGCCCTTCCAATGACAAACCAGGGGTCCTCCAGAGTCTCCCTGTTTAGGGAAAGAATGGGTGGTGAGTCTCAGGGTCCCTGAGAGTCTGGAGGGGACGGAGAAGTCAGCAAGCATGGAACGACACCAAAATGTGATAGTCTCACCTTGCAGGAGTCGTGGCCTGGACTCCCAGCACACAGCATGTCCTCCTTGACCTTATTGCCATATTGTTTCCTGCAGACCTCATCACTCACAATGGGGATCTCCACCTCCTGCAGGTGGTAGGGTGGAGGCAGTTTTTCTGTGGAGGAAAGCTGAGTGAATCTGACAGGAAAAGGGGCATCAAGGAGGGGTCCCTCCCTTTCCCATCACCTTGCTTCATAAGTGACCACTTACATCCAAGCACAGAGGCTGATCTTGCAACAGGCTGCCCCAGGTGTGGCATTATAGAACCACACGAAGCCTTCATTTCCCTGAATGCTGAAGTTACACATGACCCGCTGCACACGCTCTCCTAACAGAGGGATGCTGACGTCACAGCTCAGGAGAGACTTCCAGGTGGAGCTTTCTTAACACACATAGAATTAGTACTGGGGGAAAATCAGAACTTTGCAGAGACCAGCCCTGAAGGCAGAGTGGACTTGGACTATTAAGCAACAGTGAGGAAGTCCATCTCTTGGTCATTTCCCTAAGTTCCCCTCCTCACTCTCAAGATAAAGAACAGGGGACCCAGAAGGGCAGTGCAGGGCCTGGTGGAAAATAAACGTAGAGGGCCTTTCCCACCACACCTGGGCTTTGTGCCATTTTGAACCACCTGATTCCCAATCCCTATTCACCCCACCCTCTCAGGCTTCAGGAGGATCTGGGCTGAGACCTTGTTGATAACATTGCACCAGATACCTATTGCAACCGCCCCAGAGTCCTCCTCATCCCACCTGATTCCATCATCCTACTACTTACCATTGGTGTTAATGTTACCCCAGCCATTCACCCAGCTACTAGTGCCTGCTGGGATCTTAAGGTCTGGTGGAGAGAGGGTGACCAGGCTGACATGACCAGACAGCGTCACTTGGTGTTTCAGTTTGAGAAGGCTCACATCTCCTCCAATTTTAGCATCTGGTTTTGGGTAGTCCTTGATCTCAGCCACATCATAAAAAGTTTTATCACCATAAAGTTTCACTTGCCCAACTAAAACTTTCAAATGTTGAGCCTTTACATTGTCTCTGAGAAAGAGAAGACCAGAAGCTTTTCAGAGACTGGTACCAAAGTCTGCTCAGCAGCAGGAGGTGGTTCAGGAGTTGGAATCCTCCTGTGACCCAGGACAGTAGCCACCCACCTGGGAAGCCCTGTGTCTCTCATCATAGTACCCCCAAGGTTGTCAGCAAGCCAGGTGCAGTTGGGTAGTGACTTACTCTTTAATGCAGTGGGCAGCAGTTAGCACCCACTCACGGTGAATGAGGGAACCTCCACATTTGTGCCCCCACTTGAGATCTGATGTATTGTATGTCCACAAGCTGACTTGCCATGGCCACTTCCCAGGCGTGGCATCATGTCTTCCCATGATGAACATAAGGTTGCCCTTCATGGTGGGATCTGGAAAGGTAAAGTAAGATGTCATCAGAGACCCAGCTGTCCCTGCCCAGAGCTCAGCTCATCCATTCTTGCTCAGACTCTCCTCAAAGTGTGAGTCAGGCTGTCCTCTTAAGAAGTGCCCATCCCACACCACCCCAGGGCTACTCCCTGGAGACCAGGGACAGGGACTCAGAGATAAGGTGGTCATTGGAAGGAATCAGGACTCACCTACGTTAATGGACATAGAGCATCGCCCCAGGCAGAGGAGGGTCATTGACAGCAGCCACAACATCTCCAGGGTGAGAGAACAGCCTGACTGAGGAGACAAGGCCTGATACCTGGTGTGGAGTGGAAAGTGGAGGGACAGCTCCACAGGGCTCTGCACTTTTCTGTTGTAGACCTCTCTCTCTCTCTGAGTCCCTGAAGGATTGAGAGGGTCAATTCTTTGATTAACTAGAATTCTTTCATCATTTTTATACAAAGTTATCAGGAAAAAGAAAACACGGCTCCTGATTGGTTGGCATTGATGTGATAAAATAGTAGGTGTGATATACAATATTACTTAAGTGCAAATACCATCTAAAACTTTGCTAAACATTTACCAGAAATAATATGCTCATCATTCTTGCAAAGAGGATATGTTCATCCCTCTTGATTGTTTTCAGAAAGAATAATTTTCAAGTGAAAGTTAATGAGTAAGAAGACACTAGGCACCTCAAGTGTCTGTGGATCACAGGGAACCCATAATGTAGGAGAAAATCAATGACTTAAGGTTAAAAGTCATAACGTAGCTAACAGATTATGTATTTATTACAGTTCATAGATGTGTGTGTGTGTGTGTGTGTGTGTGTGTGTGTGTGTGTGTGTGTAGGTAAGAGAATTTCTATTTTCACAATGCAAAAGTTGCAATTATTTTTAAAGAAAATTTTTATTTCATACTGGATTACTTACAAAGTTCATGTACATTGTTTCCCACACCAGAACTTTCCCATTTCCTTTACCTACCCCTCCCTCTACCCATCAAACTATGCAATGCTATTATTATACCCTCCCCCACCCATCCTCACCCCTCTGCTCCCCTTCTTCCCCCTAGGATCCTCATATACATTTTTCTAGTTATCTTTCTATTTTTCAATAATGGTCTAATGCAGTATTTGTCCTTACGGAACTGAGTTAGTTCACTTGGCATAATGCCAAATCATTGCTCCTGCATGCTGCATAGTATTCTATCATGTGAATGTACCATAATTTCTCAATCCATTCAATTGTGGTTGGACATTTGGGCTGTTTCCATGTTCTTGAGATGGTAAATAACACTGCTATGAACACTGGTGTACAACTCTTCGTTTGTGCCTCAGTTCTAATTTTCTCGGGGTATATTCCAAGCAGTGGAATAGTTGGGTAATAGAGACTTTCTATGTTCAGCTTTCTGAGGAAATGCCAAACTGCCTTCCAGAGTGGTTGTACCATTTTACAATCCCGTCAACAATGTATAAGCATTCCTATTTCTCTACATCTTCTCCGATATTTATTACATGCTGTCCTGTTAAGCTTTGCCACTGCTACTGGGGTAAGATGCTATCTCATTGTGGTTTTTATTTGTGTCTCTCTTATTGCCAGTGCATTTCTTCATGTGTCTCTCTTGGCCATCCGAATATGTTCCTCTATGAAAAGTCTTTCCATGTCTTTTGGGGTTTTTGTTGTGGTGGTTTTTTGTTTTTGTTTTTTGTTTTTGTTTTTGTTTTGTGGAGGCCCAGTAGGTTCCTGTAAACTTTTGATATGAGACCCTTGTCTGACATGGTATTGCCAAATGTTTTTCCCCAGTTAGTAGGTTTTCTTTTCATTCTGTTGAAAAATTATTTGACTCTATGTGGGAATTTAATCTTTTCAAGATCCGATTCATCGATTTTATCCTCTCCAGATTGTGCATTTCTGCCTCTATTTGGCTGTCTCTTCATACCATATATGAGGCCATCTGAGCTTGATCCCAGTTTGTCTCTTATGAACTATTTTGGCGTTACTCCCAGGATTCTGATCCACCTTGAATTGATTTTTGTGTATGGTGTGAGATATAGATCCTGTTATAGCTTTCTGCAGGATCCAGCTTTCTGCAGGTAGCAGTCCAATTTTGCCAGCACCATTTGTTGAAGTGATTGTCATTTCCCCATTTGATTGGTTTTATTTACTTGTCAAACATCAGTTGACCATAGATAGCTGGATCCATTTCTGGGTTCTCAGTTCTGTTCTATTGGTCCATGTGCCTGTCATTGTACCAGTACTCCATGCCAGTATTCTTGTTGAGGTTTTGGCTGTAACTTGGCAAGATGCTCCTCTTGAGGGAACTACAGGACAAAGTGAAGATATGACAGGTATCATTTTTGTCTTGTAGATCTACCATGATCTCAAAATACAAAGTTTCATGATTTTTTATAAATGATACATTGGAAGTCATGAAATGGATTGGCACAATAGTTTCACAATGAGTTCAAGCATATCAAAGATCATGGCAATGCTAACCATTCGTTCTGGTATACATGAGGTCACGCTGAACCAGAGCTGCAGTCAATGAAAACTAACAGTAACAACTACAAGAAGGAAAGGAAGAAGAGGAGGAGGAAGGGAAAGAAGAAAAATTAAAAGGAGCATCAACCAAAAGTGTTCCTTGACATATATCAGCTTTGTTTAGACAGTAGGTCCCGTTGTCTCTGGCTGGGTCTCCAGCAAGGGCCTTGGATATCCGGACACAGCCAAAGCCAAGCAGCAACAGCAAGGAGCTCATCTGTGGTATGAAAAAGCTGTAGTGTCTTGACCATTTATAACTGAAGTTGTTAATCTTTATCAGGGAGCTCTGGTGGCCTAGTGGCAAGAAGCTGCTTTTCAATCCCAAAGACACATGGTTTGAATCCATCAGCTGCTCCACAAGAGAAATATGGACAATCTCCTCCCATGTGATTAACTGCCTCTTAAAACCTGCCACAGGGTCAGCTACGGGTCGATTTCAACTCCAAGGTACACAACAACAACAATTTTAATCTGTGCTAGATCTCTTAACTTCTGCTGAAATACCTCTAGACCAAGTAGCTCACAAAAGACTCCTTCCACCACCATCGTAGCTATCAAATAGGCTTAGACAGAAATACCACACTGTGAGACTTTAACAAACAGAAATTCATTCTCTTACCATTTAGGAGGTTAGTAGTTCAAATCCAGGGTGCCGGTTCTAGGGGAAAGGTTTCCATCTGTGTGTGTGTTCTGATGGAAAGTCCTTGTCTCTTTGTAGCGTCTTTGAGCCTGGGGTTCCTTGGTGATCCTCCTGTGTCTTTAAGAAAATCTTCTCCTGAGTGTGGCAGGTTCTCAGCAAGGAGACTCTGTGTCCAAAAGATAAGCTCTTCTTTATTAGTGGCAAAAGGCCCTCTCAACTCTTTTGCTAGTTTAATCTCTTTTCTATGAAATTGATTAAAATTACAACCTAATCCTATAGATTGAAATCCCGACTCATTTCTATAATTGCTACTCTTTCTACCTCATTAATAGAACATGCCACCTGGAACAGAGTTGATTTTGACTCATAGGGATCCTGTAACAGTCCCATAGAGTTCCAAGGCTCTAAACCTTTACAGAGCCCTGATGGCTTTTAGAGTTGCATGTTGGTCTGCCAACTTAAAATTTGGTGGTTCAAATCCATCAGCTTCTTTGCAAGAGAAAAATAGGCAGTCTGCTTCCATTAAGATTGATATCCTTGGATACCTGATAAAGGATCTCTAGGAACTGGAACAGTTTCAACAGCAGTGGGTTTGGGTTAAATCTTCATGCAAGTAGACTGCCTCAGCCTTTATCCATGAAGTGACTAGTGGGTTCAAATGTGTTACCAGGGTAAATCTTAACAGGAAGAGACTTCCCATCTCTCTCTCAAGGAACAGCTAGTGGATTTGAACTACCGACCTTTTTCTTAACAGTGGAACAAGCTACACACTACACCATGAGAGCCCCTAAGTCATTGAAAAGCCTGTGAAAAAGAGGAAGACACTGAACATGATCAATTGATAGTGATCATGTTCTAGAGGAAAGGCTCAAGCAACGGGCTCAATCACAACTGATTGTGAGGACGGTGCAGGACTAGGCAGGGGGCTTTGTCCTGTTTTATGGGGGTCAGTATGAGTGGGAACTGACTTAACAGTCAGTTCTAACAACAACATCAATGACTAAAGATGATAGAAGACGTATCAATGTCTTTGAGTAGTGGTGCTGGAGAAGAGCATTGAAGATAGTGTGAACTGCCAAGAATACAAACAAATCTGTCTCCAGGAGGTGAAACCAAACTGCCCTTTGGAGGCAAGGGTTTTAAAGCTCCGTCTGACATACTTTGGGCATGTTGCTAAGAGGAATCAATCCTTGGACAAGGACATCATGCTTGGAAGGGTGGAGACACAGTATAGGAAGGGAAGACCCTAAATGAGATGGATTGACTCAATAACTGGGGTAATAGAGAGAAGTGTATCACAGACACAATGACTCAGAATAGGGCAGAGCTCAGAGCTATTGTACATATGGTCACTATGAGTCACAGGTGACTCAATGGCACAAAACAGCAACATACCTTCAGTCTAATACATATTGTCAACAAAAAAGTATTTTTTTTTACCTTTTCTGACTTCTACAAACAACATCAATGGAAACAGCAATCAGGATATCAAATTTGTTTTGGGCAAATTTGCTTCCAAGGATCTCTTTAAAGTGCTAAAGGATGTCACTCTGAGAACTAAGTGGGGGGGGGTGCTGTTATAATGAAC